TTTTTTTTTTTTTTTTTTGGTAGCAGGGATTGAACTTGGATCCTTGCACTCACGAGGCAGGTGGCAGAACGACTGGGCTAAATCCCAGGCCCTCTGTATTCATTGTCTTTACGCCATTTTTCTTCTGATGTACAAGCTGTATATCTGTTTAATGATTGCCCTGAAGTTGAGCATAAATGTGTAATAGGATATCAGTGTTTCAATTCTCTTCGTGAACCCATGCCTCAAAAAAATGTTTATTACAAAAAAAAAAAACCTAACCTCCTATTTGAATACCAACATATTTTATTGTATTTTCCTTAACCTTCCTTCTTATAATCAGTTCCCGAGTTCAAATTTTTTTCTATACTGGACACTTTTAAGTTTCCAGTGAGGAATGGAGAGTGTCTCATAGCTCATGAAGCTGTACTTACTTTCCCAGTAGTCTTGACTGCTAGTTTAGTGAACTCCAGTCTGAAACTTTCTCTCATCATTTTGAGAATATTACTTCTCATTAAAATGTCTGCTGTAGTTCTCGTCCCAATTCTGCACTTTTAAATTCAGTAGCCCTTCAGATAGTTCCCCTCCCACTGTAATGTTTACAGCCGAGTAAGCTTTGTCTCGTGTGTAGAATGGGGCAGTTTGGGGTTCACAATGTTTCTCGGTCTTGGGAAAGTTCTCTGCTGTCTGTGCTGTAAAGTCTGGGCTTTTGTGTCTTCTCTCACCTTCCCATCTCCATTTCCATCTCTCCAGGCTTCACGCTCAGCTCTAGACTCCAACTTACGGTTTCACTTCTAGTTAAATATCTTTTTTTAAAGAAATCCTATTTAGCTTTTCCCCTTATATATTTTAAACATAGTCTTTCACATAGTTAAATTGTCAGAGGAGTTCTGAGGGGAAGTGCCACTTATGTTTGCTAATTCATCCTTCATGTGATGTATTTTATATATCTATTTACATAAATTTATGTATTTATTTTTAAGACAGGGTCTTGCTCTGTAGTTCAGGTTGGCCTTGAACTCACTATGTAGCCCAGGTGATCCTCTACTTACCTTTGCCTCCCAAATGCAGGGATTACAAGTATGTACATCATCTCCATCTGTACCAAGTGGAGGTGACTGCATTGTATGTACCACGATGTACTTTGTGCCCTTTCCCTTTCAAAACTCACTTTCCTCCAGGGGATAGTCACGCAAAGATAGCCAGTCACTACTCAGTTCCCTTCTCTGTGACCTTGGTCAAACTTAGGACCCACTTCCTCGGCACCCCCATGTGATTCTTCTTTCAGAATCATTTACGTCGCAGGCCGGGAAGGGCACATGCTCAAGGTGCTCTCTTACGTCAGTGTCAGGCGCCTCACACCCGCCCCCGCCATCATCTTCTATGTAAGTATGAAGTGCCCTACCTCACCTGTCCTCACACAGAAAGCCCTCAGACCTTTTTTTTTTTTGGTCCCAGGGGCCAAACTCAGGACCTTGCGCTTGCAAGGCAGGCATGATTCCACTGAGCTAAATCCCTGGCTCAGACCTGTCTTGCTAACACTTCTCCCAGTGGTTTTCAGTGTGTTACCAGGTGTGACCAGTGATCCTGTTCAAGCTCTTATTATCTTATTCAATGAATTGGACAGAACATAAATATTTAACAATGACTGAAGGCACTGAAGCGAGGATCAAAGATAGGAAAAGCAGGAAAGAGAAGTGTGCTCTGCAGAATGACTGTGGGCCACTTAAAGTAGGAAAAGTAGTAAGTTGAGCAGAGTGGAGGGTGAAAAACGCTTGCAGTGCCCACAAGATTAATGGCTGCCATCTTTTATACCAATGTCTGATATCAGAGCCATCCCACGAAGGGCTCTGCACATGTGTTAAGGTCGTTATAGGATGTTATCTGTGATTGACAGGTCACACCTGACTGTCCGGGCTGCTCACCATGCCCTAATCTTTTACCTCAAAAGGATCCAGGTTCCCTTATTCTTTGACGTGAAAAAAAAATTCCCAGGACAATTCATTTTATCTCATTTCTGTTCCGATTTCTGAATTTACCCACAAAAGATACTGTTTGAATCACCCAAACTGGCACCATACTTCTTTCACATATGTTCATTTGTTTGTTCTGGGCCTTGGTAACAAGGTAAATGGAAGCTTACTAGCCTATGGGAAAGGAGAACAAGGCACTTTACAAGGTGATGCGAAGAGCAGTCTCTCATTACGGTCTAATAACCTGCGTGTCCCGAGATCCTCTGCATCTCTAACGGGACGTTCCTGTGGTAGAGTGTCTGGGTCAGGTCCCACTGTTCTGGGCATTTAGACACCTTCCACATTGCTAGCTCAGGCCAGTCCACTGTCCGCCAGATCCAGGGGAGAACAGGACTCTCTTCCACCTGCACACTGTGAAGATGGGGAACCTTGGCCAGAGAACAGGGACAGAAGTCAAGGCCCAGGTGACTAAGCAGTTAAGATCATAGTCTAGGGCTATGATGAAGACACTCTGGAAGTCACATTCATCATCATGAAGCTAGTCAGTATATATACAGATGTTGTCCATTTCTTTCCTTGCTTAAAATCATAACTTCAAAGACTCAAAAATTATTCAAGTTCTTCCTTCCAGGCTTCAGAGAGAATAGCTATCATAGCCAAAGTCACATTCAGCCTCAACTACAGTAGATGCATGTGAAGTTTCTTTCATGCTGATCTGTTTATCCAGAGGAAATACTGCTTCTTCAGACTTCTGTGAGGGGATATGAATAATGTTTTTATGCACTAATGACTTGGGAATTTGTTCTTCTTTCTACCAGGGCCTAATAGCAACGATTTATATCATCCCTGGTGACATAAACACCTTGGTCAATTATTTCAGTTTTGCTACATGGTTATTTTATGGGATGACAATTATAGGACTTGTTGTGATGAGGTTTACGAAGAAAAACCAGGAAAGGCCTATCAAGGTAAGTTCCATACCCAAATGTCAGAGCAGCTCTGGTGATAAGCCTAAAGACAAGCTTGTTCTTTCCTACTTGAATCTACTCTGTCCTTGAGTATCATCTTTTAGACAGGAGTTTATTCTGCATTTACTCTGACAGGTTATGATCTAATTAATCACAGTCATTCATTTTACTAGGAAGCTATCAGAATAGCTGTGACATTTTCCATACACTGATGAGGTCTTCTGAACTCTGGCCCTTGGCCCATTCCTGTCCAAGTTCATAACGTACTTCAGGCTCCTCCCCACTGCCTAAAATGGCTGGCGTGATCTATATACCGATGAAGATGGCATAGCATTTATTTTGCTTTGTTTATGTTAGAGAGACTAAAAAACACTATTTAATTCTTAAGGTAACAGAGCACAGATATTTTTAAAAATTAGGTAAAACCATCCCACTGCCATAGTGAAAGGCATGCAGTGCAACTGGCAAACATTATGTGAATCCATTCCTCCCTTTTTGTTCGTACTTTCACCTCTAATTCACTTACAAAGAAAGAAAGAAAAAAACAAAGAATACTAGTACCAGACCTTTTGTGGTCAACATTTCATGCCAGAAGACAATGGAGCAATATATTTGATATCCAAAGAAAGAAAATATAAGCCAATGGTTTTATATCCAGCCAACCCGACCTTAAACGATAGTTACCAGAATGAAAGGACTCAAGATACATATTATTACATGTGCTCTTCCTGAGGAATCACATGGAGAATGAGCTTCAGAAACAATAAAGTACTGGCGTGAGTATTTTACTATAGAGCTAAGATTAAATGATGGGATACAGAAGAGACAGATGGTGTACCAATATCACACAACAAAAACGGAAAAGAGAAAGGGTATGAGAAGTACGTACCAATTTAGGAAAGTATGCCAAACAAACTCTCAACTGAGGGATACCAGGCTGCCCACGCAGGTAGTGCTAGCACTCTGGGGGCCACAGACTGGAGGATTTCAGGTTCAACCCCAGCCTGAGCAACTTAGTGAAACTCTATCTCAAAAAATAAAGGGCTGGTATGTAGCTCAGTGTGATGGCCCTAGTAATACTAGTAATACTAGTAATTATGCTGACATCAGTCTTACCAAATTTTATTGTCCTAGGAAATTTATATTTTATCTAGGTGTTCAAATTTATTTGTATCGAGTTTCCAAAATAGTCTCAGGATATTGAAAAAAAAAAAAAACAAAACTAAAAAACAACTCTCCTGTGTCTGGATGTTTCCAATTTCACTTATTAGTATGTTTTCTCCCTTTAACTTTTTTGGTCAAATTTTATTTTATTGGCACACATTAGCTGTATGTACTGATATTTCATGATAGGGAATGTGTACCTGTACATAACATCTCAATTCTTTTCCCCCATTCCACTCCTCTCCCTCCAACTCTTCTCATTTACAAAGGCTTTGTTTCCATTTTTTATTCTATTCTTTTTCCTTTTTCTTCTCTTCTCTTTCTCCCTCCTTCCCCCTTCCTTTTGAACATTTTCTTCCTACTTCTCAATGTCTATCATCCATGTCCTTATTTACATTTTTGGTTTCTCACACAGAGATACAATGCAATACTTAGACAAATGTGTCAGATTCATTTCACTTAAAAGTATGGTCCCAGGATGCATCTATTTTACCTAAATGTCTCGAGTTTATCCTTTATGGCAGAGTAGTACTCCACTGTATATAAAAACCACATTTTATCCATCCATGGGCATGTGCACGGTTTCCAAGACTTAGCTATTACAAATTGTGCTGCTATAAATGTGAATGTGCATATACTGCTGTGGTGTGATACTTTTAACTCTTTTGGGAAGATACAAGGAAGAGAACAGCTGGGTCAAATGGTACCTTTAGTGTAATAGTTTTTTGAGGAAACTCCATATTAAATTCCATGTTCATTATACTAATTTACACTCCTACTCAGAGTGTAGAGGGGTTCCCTTTTCCCCACATCCTTGCATTTGTCACTGGTTGATTTCTTCATGAAAGCCATTCTTTCTGGAGATAGAATCTAGTGTTGTCTTAATTTGCATTTCTCAAACAACCAGTGATGTTCTGCATTTTTTCATATATTTATTTGCCATTTGTACTTTGTCTAGGTTTCTATTCATTCCAGATGGCCATTTTTGGACTTTGTTTTTAAATATGGGGCAATGGATTTTTAACAGTTAAGTATTCTAGATATTTATTAGTCCTTTGTCTGAGGAAGAAATGGTAAATTTTTTTTTCCCATTCTGTGGTTTCTCTTCACTCTGTTAGTGGTTTATTTTGCTGTGCAAAGCTTTTTAATATGAGAGCCTAGTTGCTGATTAGGACTTCCTGTGTGACTGGGATTTTGTTCATAAAATCTTTGCCTACACTTAGGTTTTAAGAGTTTTGCCTATTTTATCTTCCAGGAGATTAAGTGTTCCTATTTTAATATGCATATCTTTGATTCATTTATATTTTAGTTTAGGGCATGGTGACAGACATGGGTCTAGGTTTAATCTTTGGCATGTGGAAAGCCAATTTTGTCAAAGAGTCTTTCTTCCAGTGAAGGTGTTTGGCTGCTTTGTCAAAGATAAGACATCTCAGGGCCAGGGATTTAGCACAGTGGTTACATTGCCTATCTTGCAAGCACAAGGTCCCAAATTTGATCCCCAGTACTTTAAAAAAAATGGCAAGACATCTCAGTGTGAAGTTGTTTTTGCATCTTCTGTCCCACTGATTCTTAGGTCAGTTTGTTTTGTCAATATCATTGTTTTTATCACAGTATATCTGTAGTATAACTTCAAATTGGGGATTGTGGTGCCCTCCGCCTTGCCTTTGTTACCCAAAACTGCTTTTGCTATTGTGGGTCTCTTCTGGTGCCAAATGAATTTTAGCTAGTTCTGTGAGGTATGCTGTTGGTATTTTGATTGAGATTACATAAAATGTATATAACAGTTTTGGAAGTATGGCCATTTTCACTAAATTGGTTCTGCCCATCCAAGAACGGGATATCTTTCCATTCTTTGATATCCTCTTTGACCTCCTTTTTCAGAGTATTATACTTTTCATTGTATAGATTTTTCACTTCGTTAGGTCGGTTCCCAAGTATTTCATTTTTCTTAATGCTATTGTGTGAAAGGTGTGATTTCCCTAATTTCTCTCTCAGTGAGTTGGTTATTCACATATAAGAATGATACTGATATTTCAGCCTTAACTTTGTATCCTGCTGTGCTGCCAAAATTGGATTATTAAATCTAGGGGTCTTTTGGTTGAGTTTTGGGGTCTTCTATGTAGCGTATCATGTCATCAGCAAATGATAATTTAAATACTTTTTCTTTTTCTTTTTTTTTTTTTTTTTTTTTTTTTTAAA